TCGGCTCCACCGTGGGCCGCTATTATGGCTGTGGCCTGGGTCCCACTTGGCTCCTCCTCCTGCTCCGGTTCCCTCCTGTTGTCTCCCTGGCTCCTCCCTCCATCGTCACATCCCTGAACTCTGTTAGCCGTCCTCCTCCTGGAAGTCCGTCCTCCGCCACAGACACAGCAGGGTTTAAAAAAAAAAAAAAAGAACAAATAGATGTTGGATCATCAAAGAGGGATTTACAAGCTAACGCTGATGCGTCTGTGTGTGACACTGAGCCATCTTTTTCTTCTGAAGAGCACATGGGTCTCAAACCGAGTCTAAATGTGCTTCATCACTGTGTGTGTGTGTGTGTGTGTGTGTGTGTGTGTGTGTGAGTGTGTGACTGTTGTCTCAAATCTCCATATTTATTCCCTATTTTTCCCCTGATGGCTGGGTCATTATATAGGCATAGAACAAGTCCTCCACTAGTCAAAGAGCTCCTAAAGCCCAGTGGATCTCATCACACTTCAGCTGTGTCTTCAGCCTCTAGCTTCACACTTTCAAACGAGAGCAAAATACACAGTGAGAATGAGATTGTGTGTGAGATTGCTCTGGAAGTTTATGTGTCGCCCAAGTAGTGATTATATAAATTTCCCTGAAATGCAGACAGGTATTTTTCCTGTCATCTCGGGATGTTGCTAACTACCGTCTGCTGGAGTGCAGCTCTGTTTTTTGTCAGCCCTGTGACGTTGATTGACAGTTAGCGGAGAAAGTGTCCCACTGAATGGCAGAATCGATCTCTCACCCTGATCTGCAATTTGGTTTTGACGGCAGCGGCCCTGTTGCTCCTGGCATCGGCTCCCGTGATAAATGGCCATGTATGTTGGTTTGTTTTTCCTCTGTGCTGTGGCGTGAGCCTGGACCATATATTTACTAGATTACAGAGCTACTGCCATAATTTATTCACAGTGTGATCATGATGTAAGTCAGACTTGTGCTGCAGCAGAAAGCAGAGCACAATGGCATCATTTCCACCTCACTGAGACTTCTTTCCTTTCTTTTTCCACTTTCTTTTCCACTTTTACTTCCTGTTGCTTTTCTTTCCTGTCTGTTTTCCATTATTTCATTTTACTTTACTTTTTATTTGCTTTGTTTTTCTTTGCATGTTCCTCTTTCTTTCCATTTACTTTTCTTCCTTCCCTTCCCATTCCTCTTCCTAGTGTTTATCCTGTTCCCCTTTCCTTTCCCCTCTAGTTTTCTTTTACTTTCCATTTCCTTTATTTTTCCCTTCCCTTTGTTTTATTTTACCTTTCATTTTATTCCCTTTACTCCTCTTTCCTTTTCCTTTTTCTCTTTCCCTTCTATTTTCTCTTCCTTATCTTGCCAGTCACTCTCTGTCCATTCTCTTTCCCTTCAGTTTTTCCATTATTTCCTTTTACTTTACTTGCATTTTCCTGCCTTTCATTTGTTGGTTTGCTTTACTCTCATGCTTTCTGTTTTATCTGTCATTCCTTTTATCAGTTGTTTGTTTGTTCTATATGTTTGTTTTTTCTTTATGTAGTGAGGTCCCTTGTAAGACTGTAAGTTAATTTAAGAAAGTGACATGGCCCCTTTAAGAGCGTTTCTCAGTAGGCGGAAGTGTGCACGCTAGTAAATTGCCATGTGCTTTATAAGACGGAAAGGAGCGGTGGTTTGGAAGGGTTATAAACTTTATTCCCTGTTGAGACTTAGGTTTCCCGTTCGAATAAGGCTGTTTTTCCCACACTTCTGTGCGGGTGCGGGGTATTAAGTACGAGGCTGATTAGATCTTGCTGTCGATTGTGGGGCTGGTGGATGCATAGTTGGTGACCATTGAAAATTGTGCTGTGGTGCCGTTTAATTTAAAAGCATCGGATTTGCCATTTAGTTGCCACTGCTGTCTTTCTTACCCCCGGTTGTATTTTTTTGGGTTATGTAATCTTTGCTGTTGTCTTCTGTGGATTAATCTGTTATTCCATATTGTGTGCGACTAGTGGAATTTGTTATTGTTATGGTGTTTATAAATGGGCTGTATTGCCTATTAATGGTCAGTTTTCTGAACATTTAATTTTTTGTGAAACCCAACTAATTTTATTGTCTTTTTTTTTTGCGGTTTTGCCATGGTACAATGCTGACAGCGATAGCACCACTGTTTTACATATTCATACATACCAGGCCAGTCGCACCTCTGCCGCACCAACTCTGTTGTCCTTTCAATGCCCTGGTGTCCATGGCCATGATGCAACTGCTGTAATACTTCTTCCCTCAGAGCTTCAGGCAAAACTAACTGATGTTGTTGCTCACCTCCATCCGACTGGAGGACCCGATGATATAAGAGCCCTCCCAAGTCAATCAAACGATTTCACTGCCGCACCAACTCCTGCACAGGCTTAGGGAGCCCCATCCGTTCATGGCCATCAGGGACCCTCTTCTGACGCCAAAACTGAAGAAATGTGCCAATAACCGAATCCTGTTGTTGGAGAGTGGCTAGATGATCAGTAGAATATGTCGGCAATACAGAAATTGCCATTTGCATTACCTTAGTAGGCCTTAAATCAGAATGTAGCTGCAAACTTTCTGGAAGGGGGTTCCGGGGAAAAGGGACTCCAGCCTGGAAGATTCATCAGTAGAATGGACTTGTCTGGAAAGAGAATCAGCATTCACATTTATTCGACCAGACCGGTAACGGATGGTAAAATCAAAAGTAGCCACTTGGGCTGCCCATCTCTGCTCGATGGCTCCCAACTTCACCGTCTTCAAATAGCTAAGAGGGTCATTATCTGTCCACACAATGCACTTATGCCCCAACAGATATTCCTGGAACTTCTCCATCATGGCCCACTTTAAGGCCAGGAACTCAAGCTTAATTGAACTATAGTTGGGCATATTCCGTTCTGAAGGGGAAAGAGCCCTGCTAGCATAGTCTTATTCTTCCTCCCTGGTCTTGGGAGAGCACTGCTCCCAGGCCCCTATGACTAACGTCAATCTCTAAAATAAAAGGCTGGGAGAAGTCAGCATATGCCAAGACTGGCACTGTGGTTAAGGAGGCTTTCAAATTCTTAAAACTCTCTTCACAATCTTTGGTCCATGCTGCTCCTATCAGCTGATATGTCCTCTTCTTATGCTTTCCACCCAGAGTGGCAACGAGGCGATGCAATGGAGCTGACAATCTAGTGAATCCCTCCACGAAGCGCCTGTAATTGCTGGCGAACCCCAGGAAAGACCTCAACTCGGATACTGTGGTAGAACAGCTCCAATTAGACATGGCAGCCACCTTCTCAGGATCCGTAGAGACACCATCTTCAGAGATAACAAAGAAGCAGCACTTTTCCAACTTTACTTTAAGCCCCTACTTCTGCAAACAGGACAACACAGATTCCAAATGGATGAGATGTTGATCGACAGTAGATGAGAACACAATGACATCATCAATGTATAACAGCAAAGATTGGAAATGCTGAGCCCCAAAAAGATGTTCCATTAGCCTCTGAAATGTACTCGGCACATTACACAGTCCAAACGGCATACGATTAAATTCAAAGAGGCCAAATGGAGTGCAAAATGCAGTCTTGCTCTTGTCCTTCTCGGCCATGGGCACTTGATTATATCCACTCCCCAGATCCAAAGTGGAAAACCACTTGGCTCCAGATAGAGCATCTAAGGATTCCTCGATGCGGGGTAGAGGAAAAGCATCCCGAC